GCTATAACACTCAACAGACAATGTTCTCCAGGCCCCCCCCCCCCCAGGTTCAAAGGCGCCCCTCCGGAGACCAGAATATTCCGAGTCCCCAAGATCGATGATTCGATGGAGCCCATCAAGAGCCACCAGCGCCCACTTGAATGAAAACTACAGTCGCCCCATCCAAGGTCGACGGCGCCCCTCTAGAGCCTCCAGCGCCCTTCTGAAAATCATAGTCGCCCTATGCTTTTTACATACTGAAAAGTATTAGTTACTCTTTTAGGGACCCTTTGAGGACTATCAGAGGACCCCTTTAGCCCAACGAGGGACCTTGTACAGTAAACAAAGGGTCCTTTAGAACGAATAAGACCTGTCACGAACACTCCAACCAAGGCCCTAAATACAAGGTTGCACGGACTTATTTCTACTAAACCTACCAGAATATAGTTTCACGGTTGATTATTTAAATAATTATTCAATCAAAATTTCTTTATTATTATCTCGTAATCATTTATAAGCAATTTTATAAATCAACTTTCAATTTGCTTGCCTTTTACTAGCAAAATAACTTTTCTAGTATTGGGTCAACATAGTGGTGTAGCAGTAGGAACCACATCTGGCAAAACCCCAATGCCTACATACAGCAGAAAAGCAGCCACCAGGTGTCGCCAGTCGCCAATTGGTCGCCACACAGATGTCGCGCGCGTCACCAATCGCCACACTACCGATTTCCATAAGGACGCATATGTACGGATATGTATAGGAAAGTCGCCCTTAAGGATTACGCTTACATCCTTTGCTTATGAGGTCGGTGGTTGGAAATTGGGAGGGGCTCAGCTATTTTCGACCACGGATATGCCTTTATCACATGATGAGGAACATGCTGATAAGCGTTTTATGCGTCATAACAGCACAAAAGTATTTTTAATCATTTTTCAAAAATAGCCGTTCTGCCGTGTCTTTCAGTGCAAGGTGCCGTCAGTCATCCCCGACGTGACGTCACGCAGGGAATTTGCCAGATTTTCCTACTAGACTTCGACACCCCCTGACTCCAACGATACCAGCTAAAAAGAAACGGGCCCGCATCGAAGCTGAAAAGATCAACAACTTCGCTCAGAAGCACACCACCAGACCACCCCCTGAAGCTTGCGCGGCTGGGTGCCAGAAGCAGTGCATCAAACACTTCAGTACGAACCAACGTCATCTCATCAACGAGAAGGTCAACAGGCTCAGTTATTCAGCGCGGCGGCAGTGGTACCGAACCTATGTTGGATAAAAGAAATCCAGCTCGAAAGTCGCAGGAAGTAAAACCAGAGCGGTGCTTCCCACAGGAAGCACATGACGTACATACACTTGGACCCTACCCGTGCTGGACGACGTTAAGATTGTCAACGTCTGCAGGGGATTTTTCCTAACAACACTCGGATTCGCGCAGAACAACGGAGGTCGGAGATGCTGTCTTGGCGTGCATACGTGAAGATGACGTCTGCCCCACCGGAGATGGCAGGGGACGTCACGAGTCGGCTCTCAAGATCGACAAAGCTGCCTGCCATCGTGCAACACTTTAAAAGTCAAGATGTTCCACCCCATCAAGCACCACAACCGATACGCGCACGCACCCGATCGATACTACCTCCCAGCAGACCTGACAGTAGCCGCGATGCCCCATGACTATATGGGGCGTCACGAGGAGACTCCCTGCTCATTCGAAACCTACCGACGAGTAGTTCAAAGCATGAACATCGGCTTCACTCGGCTGGCCGGCGAAGAGTGTAGCAAGTGCTCGCTGCAGCTGCAGCACTCCGCGGACGATCATGCAGTGCGTGAATCAGAGCCGCGACACCATGCTGAGGGATGCCAGCAGTGCGATCAGCACCAGAAGCACATCGCCGATGCTAAGACTGCAAGGGAGCAGTATCGCGCTGATGCCGACAGACTGGGAAGAGGGGACGATATTCATTTCTGTAGATATGATGAAAGTCTTCATACTTCCGCAAATCCCACTCAAGGACGCCGTCTTCACCAGACGACTGTCATGTTACAACGAAACATTCACACCACTCATCTCTTCAAGTAAGAACGCCAAAGCGCAGACAAAACAGAACCGTGTAAAGTACAGCACTTGCGTTCTCTGGCACGACGGAGAGGCAGGACGCGGGTGTGAGGAGGTATCGGCTTCCTTCCACCTGTACTTAACCCTCGCTGGCACAGGGGGGGGGGGGTTGATGCAACACCCCCCCCCCTAAGGTTTTTCGCGAATAACTCGCGTAAAAAGCGGCTGATCGCGACGAAACTTTCAGTACCCTCGCATTGATCACTGTTACACGTTCCCTGAAAATTTCATGACCCTGACCCCAATGACCTTTGACCTGTGACCTCTTATCCGTGACCATGTTTGGCCGAAATCGCGATTCGGCGTATGTCGGCTCGCGTTAGCCGCGCGTTTGCAAGCTTTTCGTGGTTTCAAACGTTCAAACATGTGATTTGATGTTGCTCCCATACATTAGGGTGGGTGTCAAGGTCACCTGAAGGTCAGGTCAGGTCATTGACCTTTGGTGACCTCGGGTGACCTCGGTTCACTTTTTCGAGTTTTACATGTTTCTAGGCTAGTTTTTGGAGCTGAATTCGAATTTAGCAACCATTTGAACATTTACGAAGTAGTTTTGGTACCTTCGTAACATGTTACGAAGCTGTCAGAGGCGGTTGACACGTATTACGAATACCCGTCACAACCCCTACCGGTTAACCTGACCTGACCCGACCTGGTCTAAATGCTTAAAAACATCATCTCCGATCAAAACTAACACGATATTCGTGATCAGCACCCCGGAAAACCACATAGCAGCCACACTTTACGACTTTTTAACAGGTCCCGATTTTCCCGGTTTTCGGGTCATTGACCTGACCTGGAAGGTCACCCGATGACCTAGGACCTTAAAATTGGGTATCATCGGCTTCCTCTCGTGACAGCAACACGCTCGTTTTTTTCCGCGAAGCTCTAGCTCGATCAGGGGCCAAACGCGAGGGGGGGGCGGTCGTACCAACCCCCCCCCCTTGTGCCGTCGAAGGACGCAAAATGGCCTGTGCCGGCGAGGGTTTTAACGTCGGTGTGCAGGGACGTATGACACAGTCATGTGGCCAGATAACTGCGCCGGACAAAATAAGTCGTGGACGCTGGTCTCCACTCTTCTAAAGGCCATCAACAGTCCTTCCACAAACACTCAGACCATCACGCTCAAATATCTGGAGCCGGGGCATACATCAATGTCTGCACTCTGCAGACGCCCTTCATCAGGTCATCTAAAAAAACCTACGACGGGCTGGCCGCGTGGAGGATTTTGAGGTTTTCAACGAAGCGACGACTGCAGCTGGCACAAAGACCATCCTCATGCGGCCAGGTGCCAACATGGTGGCGACGGTCAATGGCGTGAGCCGCCACGCCCTCAAAATCTTGGCAGATGACGGGCAGCGCCCTTACCTGGCCAGCTTCAAAAGCATCAAAGTGAAGCGAGGGTCTGATGAGATCCTGACGAAAACGTCTCTTTTAGACCCGAGCTGGACGGCATACAGCTTGATGAAGTCAACATTCCATGCTGACGAGGAACTTGAACTGAGAGTGACTTCCCAGAATCTCGAACGAGACCGGATCGAGGACATCTGCACGAAGTTAGTACCGCACTTGGCTCCTCACAAGCGCCATTTCTGGATCAACTTGAGGAACAGATGCGGTGGCGAGAACACTATCGCAGCCGCGGAATGTGCAATACGTCGGAAAGTGTGAAGCACGGTATATAGAGTACTAGGTAAAACCGGTTCGAAATTACAACACTAAGGTATTTTGACCACTATTTTCAGCTGACCATTTAAGTCTAAAAAAGAGAACTAAGCAACAAATTTTAATGAGTTTTATTATTTGTATATATATTTTTGATTTATGATCAGAGACCACGCCATGTATGAATCTGTGAAGCATTAACGAAAATAAATTGTTGGCTATCTCCGCCATTTCAAAAATTATATATCTTAAGTTGCAAGGATTTTTCATGGACAAAATTAATTTTTCACAATCAAAATTAAAAATTGAAGGACAAAAAGTAATATCAAAGGCCAACTCCCTTTTGTTGAATTTCGAAATTACCATGGTTCTGAGCTGTTCAGCCTACCGGACCTGCCAATGCTCTACCATGAATTGTCGAGTAACTTCAGTGATGTGGGACTTACAACATGGTCAAAAAATATCAAAATTGAATTATCTATCAGATTCTGTGCCTTTTGTTGCCTTTTAAAGGTTGGAAACTGTGTTTAGTTGATGTTCAATACATAACCACCATTGCTGTCCATGGTCACCCTGTTCCACTATATGTAATGATTCTCAAAAACTAGATCGATGTGGGGTCTAAATATTTCACTAAAATTAACAGAATCGCTTACATTATAACATATTAAAATGTCAAAACGTAAGAAACGCGGGAACTTTAAAAGATTTACGTCTAATTCTAAAACTTTGAATTTTGAATACAAAACAGTTCTGGACGAAAACATAGCTAGATGGCGAACTAGTCATTGTTGGGCTCACAAAGACCCTTTATTGAAATAAAAATTCAATTTTCTTCCAAAATATGTATGATTTATTGCAGTTTAAGAATTAAAAGATGCATTATTTTGGTCTGGTATGCGTTGGCTTCCTTGCCGCCTAAGGTCACACGGTGAGAGTTAATGGCATATTAATAGAAAACAAGACCGATGTGGGGTCTATTTAAAGCATGATAGTAAACAAAATTGAATTTTGTATCTATTGGTATAGGTTTTTAAACAACATAAACGCGGGAACTTTACGAAACGTGGTATTGAAAACTGCCGACCATAATTATCACCCGCAGTTGCGCGCAGTTTTCTGTACTGCTATCGCTAGCAAACGCCAGCTTTTGTATTTGATTGGTTTAACGGCGTTTCTTTTACTGATTGAGAACACTTTTAAGTTTCAAGCTATTCAGCATGGCTTTGGATTCAACTGGATTCAACTCAAGGCGCTCAAGGCTATAAACATTTTCAAATTTAATGAATTTTCTTGTTGGATTTGTTTTTGATAGGCCACGGAAAAGGAAACGGATTTTGAAATGTATTTTTATTGTGAGTTTATCTGTGCCGGGTGGGGTGGATTTGTGTCAAGTTTCTTTTCTGTGGTTAGTTGAGATACAAATCAAAATAGTTTTTATATTGATTTCAGGGCATATTTTAAGGATTTTTTACTGCGTCCCAAAGGTGGCATAGGGCACATGCTTCGATCGGAAAGGGCACATACCTTATCCAACTGCATCTCTGCATCTGCTTACTACCTACATCGACCAGTTACTGCAGCCGTTTTGGAGCGGCTCACGGCCGATAACACACCGGGCGTGCGCTAGCCGCCGTTGCTAAGCGCTAACCACTGAGTGCGCGTGGCCGACTGCCGTCCCGATGGCGCTGGCCCCCGACACCGGCGCGGCGCTGCTGACCCATAGAGGGGGGAGGGGGGCTGATAATTAGTTGAGCCGGAATTGGGATAGAAGCCGGTATGGGATTGGGATAGAAGCTCAGCGAGACTAAGGGATTGTGTGGTGCCTTCGGTACGCCCCTCAAAATCACCCGTGTAGGGCCCTCAGGGCCGCCGGTTATGAAGCCTTTGGAGGCACTGGTGTGGGCCCTCACAGGTACCGGTGGGATGCTCTCAGAGGCATTGGTGCGGGCCCCCAGAGGTGCCGCTGTGGGCCCTCAGAGGCGCCGGTGAGGGTCCAGTCACAGTTGCCGTTGTGGCCCTCAGAGACACTGCAGTGTGGGGTTGTCACAGTCCGGTGTGGGACCCTTAGAGCTGCTGGCTCGAACCCTTTACAGGCCGACAGGGGCTCTCAGAGACCTACAAGGGGCTCTCAAGAGGTCTGCGGTGCCTTCGGGAGCCCTGTGGAGTCCTTAAAGACCAGCAAGGTACACTCAGACGCCAGTGGGGCCCTCAGAGTCGTCGGTGTGGGGCCCTCAAAAGTCACCGGTGAGTGGCCGTCCGATGCGGCTCCGGCGTTGAGCCCCCAGAGCCGCCGATATATGGTCTTAAGAAGCACTGGTTTCGGGACCTCATTCAGGGATGCCGGTTGCACTCAGAGGTGGCAATGTTGGGCCCTCAGCTAGGCACCGGTGTGGGGCATTCACAGCCGCCGGTGAGGTCCCTCGCAGGCGCCGTTGTGGGGGCCTTCAACCACGCACTGGTTTAGGGGGTCATCGCAGGCGTGTGTGGAACCCTTAGAGCTGCTGGTCCCTGATAGGCCGGTAAGGGCCCTCAGAGGCCGGCAAGTAGCCCTCAGAGGTCGCCAATAGGCCCTGAGAAGCCGGCAAGGGGCACTCAAAGGCCGACAAGGGACACTAAAAAGCCGGTGTGGGGCTCTTATGGACACAAGTGTGGCTCTTCGGAGCACATAAGGTGTTCTTCCGAGCCCTGTGGGGCCCTTCTGAGTCGAAAGATGCCAGCGTGGACCCTCAGCCGCCAATTGGCGTCGCAAGGCCCCTCTGGCCCGAGAGGCCCCCTGATCCGATGGGGGCACGTGCCCCTGCTTCCCCTCCCCCCGGTTGCAGATAGAGAATGCAATCGGCGGTGCGGAACACAACAATTGCAATCGTTCCTCCTCCCGTCGCGAGGTCGCCCATCCGACCCATATCCCATGATTGTCAACCCTGGGGCTCGGGTCGGCAATGTACCGGCAAGGAAATCAGCTTTAGGTGAGTAAAAAAGTTATTAAGAGTCATTAGTTGTCGTTACGTTCGTCGTTCAGTAATAACAACTATACGGTGCCAGATGTACCCGACGTACAGCTTGGAGCCGGGCACCGCCCGGTCTCCACCAGTGACGTCACGCTAATGCTTAGCGACCGGTCCATTGGAAATCGCGGGATGATTCTACCTCTCTTATACGGCCTTGGTTTCAATGGCCGGGGATCCCCGGAAGGGCGGGCGCCGATTCCGCCCGGGTCAGCCTAACATCCAGGCTCGCACGTCCGCCTCGGCTCCGACAGGTCCAGCACGGCGACTACGCGAATGTGAATCATGAATGGGTGGTGGGCGGCGGATGGTGCCACAGGGGAGGGGGAGCGGAGGGGATTAAAGGTGACACTTATGTTGCTTGTGATAACTCGCCTCGCCTCCCTGGGTTCCGCCCAGGTCCAGGGATGGATTATCTTCTCCAGCTTTAGCTAAAGTCTTACATTTGATTTTTTTTATCAATATCAGTATTATTGGATCTGAGGGTAGGGCAAGGAACAGGACTAGATATGCACAATTTTCCCGAAATCCGGGCCCAGCACCGAACCGGCAGCAGCACCGAAGGGGTCCTTAAAGGAAATAGTTCACTTTCACGAAATTATTTTTTTGCAATGGATTTGTGATTTTTTATGTTCAAAATGATCAGCAAAGAAAATAAAACCTTTTTACAACAAAAGATTATTTTCTATATTTTTGATATAGGAAAAACTTTTCAGTTTCTGTAAGGCACACGCGATCCAGTATGAAAAGAGCATGGGTCCCGAAAATTCTTCAGAAACTGAAAATTATCGCGGCCACCGGCATTTGGGCGATCTGCTCGTGCTTTTGTTACTGGAGCGCCTCACTGGAGCGAATTTCTCTAGAGTTCTCGTAGATAATTTCTCTAGTTTCTGAAGAATTTTCGGGACCCATGCTCGTTTCATACTGGATGCGAATATATGCAAGGCACACATCCTCAACGCAAGACACATTTTTCGGGACGAGAAATAGAATATCTTTGCCTAGGGTGATCGTTGGGCTGTAAAAGCTCCTGATTCATGCTCGTCTCAGCCCAAGCTACGGAACTGCTATTCCAGTTCAAAACCCATGTTAAAATGTGAACTATTTCCTTTAAGACGGGAAGACAACAAGGTATCGGGTTTGAGGGCACTGGGCAGGGCAGAGAGGGTCACAGGGCCTGAATGCAGAGCAGGGCGCAAGGCCTGAAGGAAGTGCAGGGCAAGGTACAAGACCTTAGGACAGGGCACTGGGCAGGTCACATATCCTAGGGGTATAGTAGGGCACGGGACATAACAAGGTGTACGACCCCAGGATAGGGCAGGGCACAAGGACAGGAGAGCGCATGCATGTGCTTAGGTGCATAGTAAATCAGGGCACAAAGCAATCAGAAAGGCAACATCTGTTGCATAGTAAAAGACCGAGGCATGCTAATTATTATTGCTTGCACTTTTCCGCTGAAACCGTGACATTTCAGTGTGGGACGCAGTGGTCCAAATTTCGCGAGTGCTACGTCCCAAAGGCAGGGGGCTGCGTCCCAAAATGGGACGCAGTCAGTATGTTAAAATATGCCCTGATTGATTTGCCATTGGGATTATTGGGTAGGTACCTATCCTACGAAGTATGTAGTCTACCTGAAGTCAAGTCTATATAAACCCCTCACCCAGATTCGTTTTGGTCCTCTGCTCTCTTGTTTCCATGATCCTGATCCTCTCCTTCTCTTCTGCGTCTCAATCTCCTGCTTCAGGTTGAGACCTTGCTGTGGTTGGCCATTTCGAGTTGTGCTTTTGGAGCTTGCAGCAATGTGTGTTGCAAGTAACTCACCAGAAAAGATGATGCTCTGAGAATTAATAAACAAAAGCATAAAGTCCTGTAATTGACAAGTTACATGGATAAGTTTGAGTTATTATATCACTAAAAAAGTCTTGCAATGTGTGTAGTGATCATGAAATACATGCCCTCTGCGGGCTTTGTCCACCTCTCCCAAACATCCACCCTGCTAAGGGTTGGACAGACAACTATCCGATGGGGGAAGCCTGGAGGTTCCCCCAGGGTCCAATCTTATGAAATGTCTTACTATTCTATTCACGGCATTTGGTAACATTTATGGTGTGTCAGTGCTGAGTCTGGGTGACTGAGTCTTGACAACTCACCTCAACCTGGGTGTCTGCCCAGACCAATGTTTCCTCATAATGTCTCCAGGTCTCCACTGCTCTCCTCGCCTGTTTCAGCTGTCTACCCCTGCACGCCTGATTCCTGACTCCCTCTCTCATTCGATTTACCCAGGTTTTGCCAATGTTCTGAGTGTGCAGTTGCTACTTTTTGGTGCGCACACACCCCAGACTCTCCATCCAATTAACGCCTGAACAGTTGCTGAAAGTGCCTCCCACCAGACTTGCTGAATGGCTACTACTTGCATATGCTATCTGGACTGAAGCTTCCCCAACAAGCTGCCATGGCTCTCGGCAGCTGGGCTTAATAGGTCACAGGTCAAAGTTCATTTGGGTCAGGTTCATAAAATGTCAAGGACATGTGTAAAATTGATCAACTGGAGGGTACTGAAAGTTTCGTCGCAATCGGCGTCTTTTTATGCGAGTTATGAGTTATCCGCGAAAAACCGAGGAGGGGTCCGTTCGACCCCCCCCCCCCCCCTCCCCCATACGGGCGAGGGTTAGGCCACATTCGGAAAGTCAAGCTACATCTAGCTAGGCACATCAGCCTATCACGGGCGTTTGACTAGTAAAATATAGACATTTGCAGCCTTTTTTGACGTTGAATTTGCTGATTTAGTTATAGGTCGTCAATCGTCATTATGTGCCTGCCGCTGCTTTTGTCGTCTTCATTGTGTGCTTTGTGGTTTTTTAGTTTTGATCATATCATCCTCCATCAGGCTTGTTTCTGGCGGTGGTTCTGGAGACAGCGTGTCGATCCAGCTGTAGAACGTCATCCGGAGGTGGCAGAGTGTGATGGCCAGCCACGCGGCGCGCGTATCGACATTGACCAGAAACTATCACATCATCTCCAGGTCAGTACCTAATTGTGTGAACCAACGCGTCCACAGGTCAGCTGTGTCCCTTTTCGTCACTAGATCAGCGACGTGATGGCAATTCTGTGACCCGTCACCGCGTCCTTAGGTGGGTGGCTCGGGAGAACTTTTTGTGTTGCCGGGATGGGATGTCTGCTAATGCAGGTGCCGCTGCAACTTAGTGTCGTGACGTATGATGGGTCTCAGGTTCGGGTTTCGATTTCTCGAGTGAGAAATGTGTGTACAGGCTTATGTACTGTTATTATAGCTGAGTGTGCGTCAGGAAACGTTATGAGCTATGAGTCGTGGTCGCCGTGGCTCGTAGTGGTATTTGACGACCGTCGTGACCTGTGACGGTCACCGTGACTGCTATGTGATGGTCGCCGCGGCTGGCATATGACGGCCGCCGTGACTTCTATAACGGCCTTCGTGACTGAAACGTGACGGTCGTCTTGACATGCCGCGACTCGCTGCTTTACAGGTCACTGGTCGAGGGCGCTCGAGCTGACGGTGTCTTCCGACGGCTCCACGGTGACCAGCGCCGCCACCGCCGAGACCATCCGACTCCTGAAATGCTAACGGCCGTGCACGAACAAGAGGCTCTAAGCATCCAGGTGCAAGGCAAGCGCCATGCTCAGAGGTGTCATCCGAAGAAGGCCGCACAGTGCACTTTAGGGTGAGCTCGGGTGTAGTGCGCGCCGACGGATAGGATGAAATGACGGGCCGGCCATCAGATTTCAGTGCGGGGATCAAGATGGTCGGAGCCGATGTGGCTCTGTTGATGGTGTGGCAGGGTTGATTGAGAGTGAAAGCGAGACACCCGGATCTGTAAAGAATACGCCGATACGGGTCTCGAACGTCGTCTCGCAATTTGTGCTCTGTAATATGACGGCTATGCCGTGGTATCATTCACTCTCGGTGCGCTAATAAATAATAAATAGGACAGAGGCTGGAATTAAGATATTATATTTGGATGTAAGGGGCAGGTTTGGGCCAGCGCTATTTTAGAAATCGTGAGCGTGCTAGTTGCAATCAATCGTGCGCTTCTTGTTGAGCATCTGTGAGCGAGAAAATACTTTCTTTGGAACTTAGCAGTTCGTCGTGAAATATTTGTATCTTTGGAGTAAGTTGTCAGAACATGAATGCATTTTTGGTGAAATATTTGTATCTTTGGAGTAAGTTGTCAGAACATGAATGCATTTTTGGTGTCCACTGCAGCTGCTGTTCTGGAACAGAAACATGCCGAGATCGGCTGTGTTTGTATGTTGTGGCAAAATCAAGCAGCCGTACCATGAATCAAAAGCGATATGTGAATTAACCCGCGCACCGACGGGGGGGGGCGGATATCCGCCCCCCCCCCCTGAGGTTTTTCGCGAATAGCGGGAAAACCGCGGCGCGTAGCGCCGCGAAATTTGGTATGACTATTCCCTCATCACTTTTACACATGGTGTGCAAGTTTGAACCTCCTACCTTTCAAGGTCAGGTCACCAGGTCACTTTGAATGACCCAACCTCAAGCCACTTTTTTGCAACTTTGTCACCGTGCCAGAGCTACAGTAGATGTCGGAGGCCTTTGAAAGTCGCAGGATGTTATTAGGTCATTAGTAGCTACAATTTGTATATCTCGGAATTTTGATATCGGTGACCTAAGGTCAGGTCAATTTCGCGACCTCCCCATTATAAGTCAATGGGGGAAAAATCAACTCCCTGTTTTTACCACTAAAACGGGTCGGAATGGCCCCATATACCATACATGACTTCATATACGATCAACCTTCACTACCTTGAGGTCTGTTTTGCTGTTGGGCAGCTGTGAGGTCATGTGACGTCATCAAAGGTCACCACAGGTTTTTGGCCAATAACTCCGTACAGGAACAAGATACAGACGCGTGGATGGTCTCATTGTGTTCAGCTCGTCAAGACGCATCGAATGACATACATGATGACCTCGAGGTCACGTGACCTGAGGTCAACCTTTGACCTTGACCTTTCGAGGTCAACATATATATCATTCGATGCGGATTGACGAGAGGATTACGATGATGCCCTTAGTTTGTTCCTATCTTGACTAATTCGAAAGTTATTCGAGAAAAACTCTCTCCATATCTAGCGCCTCCATTTTGACTTTTTCGACCCCTGTGACGTCATCTTTGACCTGACCTGAAAATGACCTTAGTAAAAATTGTAGATCTTGACCGTGCGTATCCGATGCCGTTTGCCGCTTGTCGCTATCTTGCTTCGTTCTCGAGATCTCAGGGGGGGGGGCGGTCATCCGCCCCCCCCCCGTCGGTGCGAAGTTGGCGCAGACCCCCGTCGGTGCGCGGGTTAAAGTGAATATATTTCACTATTTTTCAGTTTTATCATACAGATCACAGAAATGCGTCAAATACTGATCACCCGGTTCCAAACAAAAACGCTTGCGATCACTGGAAAATAAATAAACAATAGATACCCATGTGGCTGCCTGGCGTGATCCGAGACTCTCTCTCTCTCTCTCTCTCTCTCTCTCTCTCTCTCTCTCTCTCTCTCTCTCTCTCTCTCTCTCTCTCTCTCTCTCTCTCTCTCTCCTCTCCCTCTCCCTCTCCCTCTCCCTCTCCCTCTCTCTCTCTCTCTCTCTCACTCTCTCTCTCTCTCTCTCTCTCTCTCTCTCTCTCTCTCTCTCTCTCTCTCTCTCTCTCTCTCTCTCTCACTGTTGTTGTTGACGCACAAGGCCGAATCGGCCAAGATGGAGAGCACGGAACGATGCTGGTGACAGGCGGACCAGCGAAAACAGGAAAGGAGATGAAAAGCTCTAGCTCCCGTCTGCGCGCGGAAGGGCGCTGATTGGCGCGGCTCACAGACTCCATTGGCTCATCAGACTGTTGTTGGTTTTCTCCCTCCCCTTCCGCAGGCCTAGCCAGGTAGCTTAGTTGTGCGCGGAAGCGACGCCCTCCCAGGTACCGGGCAGTGCAGCTGGACTTGCCGCGGATGGTCCCCCTCTGATCTCGGCACACTCGGCAGAGTGCGGCCGGACACGCCATGGAGTTGCATAGCGTGGATAGGCCGTATGGTGTCGCTGTCGTTATTATAAAAGCGTAAGTAGAAGGTTGAAGCAAGATAGAATGCCATCTTTTGTCGAGCTTTGTTACAAATTATTAGTATTGGCCGTTTCACTACATATAATATCGCAAAGCACAGCTTTATGCGCTGGCTACAATATATGCGCGTCGGTTGCGGCAGTAATCATCGAAGAAATATATGATTTATGAACGTTTCTTGGTCATAGAATGATACTACATTGCAATGATTACCTGTTGTAAAGAAAACTCCTATACTGCCGCTCTATCGTCCGGAATTATTCGTGTTTGATTACGGTGATTCCGCCACTCTATCAGCTGATTTTTGTTTCCGAGTCACGTGACCAACCGGTGTCTCCCTGGTGTGAAGTCTAAAGAGTGCAGGGGTTAATGGCTGTTCAATGGAGTCTTGGATATTGCTTGGGTACTGGGTATTCAGCGGGCACTGTTCAATGGTTGTAGCTGTGATGTCGAATTCGTTGCAGTCTTGTTACAATTAGAACAGCACATGCATTCGTTTTTTTGTTTTATAATTGACTCAATCCGCTGTCCCGCAGGTCTTGGACGAGACGCCGTTGACCAATGACCAGTCCTGTACAAAACAACAGCCATGACCGTCGCTGCCGCCATAAACAGATTATGCCATGGATGCGGCAGATCCTGTGCGCGTATGTGCATGTGTGTGTGGCGACACCGTTCCGCCGCCGGAGTCCAGTGAGCCATTCAATGTTCGATATACCGAATGATCAAATATACTGTTGGAATGTTCATCGGTCTTTCTATGGACGAGGAAAACTGGATAGGGTGCGACAGAGAGACGATGTGTGGATACACTAAGTAGGCCTATTTCAGGGTATATTGAGTGAAGGGTAGGACGAACTTTTGTTAGGAATTTCTAGTAAAACTACTAGAAAACCTACTATATGTGGTCGGGACTAGCAAAAAGTTAGTTCAAACTAGAATATGGTAGCGCTTATGGTTGGCAGTCGTGACGCGCACGTGGCATTCATTTCTTAAATTCCTTAAATAACAGGTTTTAGGGGCCGATTAGTGGGCAGATACATTCAATTAGCTATTAATAATTGATATGCAAACATTCAATTCTAGCCAAAATCACGCGGCGCTCCCAGGATTCGAACTCACGACCCTCGGATCCGTAGGCCGATACGCGCGTATCGTAGGCCGATACGCGCGCCGACGATCGGAGATGCGGATCGGGGGTGCATGCGTGCAGAGAAATCTTTACCCTGTACGCCGTAGAAGATCGGCTGGGTTTCGTGAAAAATGGTAGAGGAATTGTCGAAAGAAAATTCATCGATCTATCATTTGAGACCAAGAACCATTGATTCCTTCAAAGGTTGACCGAGATATCGCTCGCCGAAAACAGGCCATTTAACATGTAAACCCTATGGGCTGGTAGGAAATGTACGCCGTGGAGCAGCAGTGCTACCAACTAACTTCGGCGGGGGCCGGGCCTATTTACCCGATTGATACTCGGTTAGTGTTGCAGGACGTATCGGTTACAAAATTTTGCGACCAATTATACCCCCCGAACCGGAATATGACACGCTGACAGAGTTTTGTAAATATAATTCGAAATCTCCGACCCGAACGATTTCTTATGGAGTAAAGTTCCCGATTACTTATGCATTAACAAACTCCACATTATGTCCTTACGACCATAGCAGTGCTAAACTTAACAACCATGTCTGCTAGTTATCACTAAATGAACCGGAGCAAACGATGTCCTTCCATACGACGTAGTGGCTTTTGTCACTCAATTTGTTTTAGTAGCTAGACTAGATAACCACCTAAATAGGGCAAAACACAATACGTCGCAACGTGTGGGCTTCTGCCACTCTATGGCATCCGTATACGGTGATAGGTAATGGGCAGAACCCACTACGTCAGAACGTGTGGGTTTTTGCCACAATTGTTTTTAAACATACAGGTTTTGCTAGCCATTCGAGAACGCATGGGGTTTTGACACGCATCCAAAAGTCTAGTTTGCCATGTCAAAATCTTTTTTTGAATTTTCTCAAAAATTTGAGTTTCAAAATGCATAAAATGACATATAACTTACAACACCTACCTGGTTAAGGTGATGTAGTTTTTGGATACCTTAATGGTCCCCAGACTATGCTGACTTTGGACGGCAGTGCTGTGTAATGTCAAATGTGTTAATGCCGATAAATACGAGACGGGTTAAAACTGTCGGCTTCGTTACCTTCGGTGATAGTGCATTGGTTCATGGTTAAATACTGCATCCGTGTTTCCTCTGCTCTTTTTACGTCGGCGCAAACATGCCAGCGAAGCCAAAAACAGGCGCTCAAATACGAAAAATGAAAGCCAGAAGGGACGCATCTTAGTGGCCAAAAGAATAAATCTTAGAACTAGTTCGCAGCTATTCACAAGGCATGGTAATTTGCAGTTTACAAGGTGCGGGGCGTTATCTTTGTTTTTGTTTTGTTGGGACTCTTCCTGCCTGATAAGGCCATTGCAGAGCTATGGGATGCGATGATAGGGCGTAGACAATAGACATTGGGCTGTGTTGCAGAAGACCACACTATGGGCTACGGAGGACAAGTCGCGTACACCGCCTTCTCCGTCTGTTCAAAGTGAGTCGACTTTGTGCCCTACATGCTCAGATACTCGCGCACGAATTAAAATCGAAGCCTGTATCCGCAAATTACCTTTTTGTGCACATGGCTGAAAGTTATCAATGAAGGGAGCCATCGTGGCTCCCTTCATTGATAACTCGAGTCAAATGCAAGTATCTCAAATTACTGAAAGTAGCTACACCGACGGCATAATGGAATGGAAAATGACCATTACTTGACAGCTTTCAACTCAGGTTATGGCAAGGCTATAGAACTCCAGGTAAGGACAC